CTATTGTATGTAATCCAGAAGCAGTGGCACGCAAGCGCTTTACTGACGTCACCCGTGAAGCTTGATTGATCACAGTCGTCCTAAAACTGTAACTTGTCGCTCCAGGCTATGCGTCATCTCGCAGGCCGGGATCACCACAATTGGGCCCTCTTATATCAAACACCGCATCAACCTGACCACAGGTTTAATACTGTGTTGATACTATCCAGGAGTGGTCGTCTCAGTGGACATCACTTAAAGCCGCTGTTCCAAAAGAGTCGGCCAGACTGGTGACACCATTCTTCTGGAATCAGAGTATGTACTACCTGGAACCCTCTTCTATCGCAAGTTGTTTATGCTCTAATCATCAATTCGTTCAAGTCACAACTCGATGAAGCACTGACACACCTTTCCTGTCCAACACCCATCCGAACCTATGCCCTATCGACTTCAAGTGAATCAGTTGTGACGTCAAGTGAATCCAACCAATCGCATTCCACTGGGGACCCCAGAAGATTATTGGTGTTTCGGTCGCCAAACGTCACCGACTGGACCAGGTCTTTCTAACCACCGTCCAGTCTGTCTGAGCATGGTGATCGACCTATCGATCCATCTTGACGGGATTCGCTTCCTTACCCAACCGACAGAGGTCAATTAACTCCAGGTTCGTTCATTCCTGTCTATGATGCACTCGATCAACGATCACAAACAACGTTTTCGAGTGGAACAGGTGTGTATGGGAGAGGGGGAGAACGGCTCACTTAACCCCAGCGAAACTTTCATCCTCGCTCGGTAACGCACCCAAAAAGTACTTTTGTTTGTTTTCGGAGAAGTTAATTCATTCGGACTGGACGAGTTTAGACGGACCCCGTCCAATCGGTGGTTTGACGGCCGAAACACCAATAATCTTCTGGGGTTCCCAGTGGAATGCGGTCAGTTTGGTTCACTCGACGTTACAATGGATTCACTTGAAGTTGAAAAGGTGTAGTGTGCAACGGTCCAATGAGATTCAATTGACTTTTGCCTTGCAATGTATCCGTAAAAAAATTTTGAACTGCAACTTAATGCCTTC